TGCTACTGGGACTCAAATATCGAGCCTGGAACCCATATGTATAATTTTTGTATATCCCTAAAAATTGTGTATCTCAAAAAATTAATATTTAATATACAAAATAAAATACAATTAATGTTGTTTTAATTTACAGTTGACGATATGGACGCGACTATACATCCCCGCCCTCGGACGTTGGAAACAGCTCCAGCATAGATCCGAGTATATATGAGACGGACAGTTGCTTACGCAGACTTTCCGGGCCAGGAGAGTGGATCTATTGTGGGACTTTTTGAGTCATAGAGTTCTACATCCCCGCGTGGTCAATTACCTGGAGGAGATGAGATTATATAGGATTATTATGATTGACTGATACAGCTCGACTAGGCTTTGATCACGGCCTTGATTGAGCGGTGGCAACCGAAGACGCACACTTTCCATCTGCCCATCGGCGAGGCCACCATCATACTCCAGGATGCTGAGATTTTATATGGCCTGTCTGCTGATGACAGAAAGCAACCCTTTGCGGAGTGACGGAATACGGATATCTTTCGGTTACTTTAAGTATCACTGAAGGTTTCCTCACACTCATTTTTTTGCATAACAATAATATCNAACGTTTCCTCACACTCATTTTTTGCATAACAACGATATCAATTTATCGTACTCCATCGTAAGTGGCAATTTAACATGACACTGAGCAGGTAAACTGTAGCCCATAGAGTTATTCTTCATCACAACCTCACCCCTCCAATATAATGAAACTCTTATTCTACGCTCTTCAGACATAATGAAAAAATGCTGGAGAATTTAACAACAATAAACGTTTCAACAAGAGTATGGAAATGGCTAGCCGGAAAATTTCTATGCTATACACCTTTTGAATGAATTTCTATACAATCCTAACCTCTTTATATAGGAAATGACTAGCCAGGAATTTATATATATATATATATATAGCGCCGAAAAAGTGGGCACTATACGCTTTTGAATTATTGAAGTCAGGAATTATTGGTGGGGCCAGGAAAAAGGTGTATAGCGCCCAAATACTGGACGCTATACATAAGTTTTATGTATAGCGTCCAGTATTTGGGCGCTATACCTGTTAGTGTCAGCTTTCTATGTATAGCGCCCAAATACTGGGCGCTATACATTAACAACACATTTAACGTTAATGTATATCGCCCAAATATTGGGCGCTATATATAAAAATATTATCTTTTTTTTACACCTATTATCCAAAAGAACCACATTTTGGTTCCGTAACGGCGAAAGCAAATAGTTCTCCGATATTAGAAAATGGCTAAACTATCAAAGCGAAGTAGAATGTAGCTCAGTTGCATGGTCAGAGTACTTGCTTAGCAAGCGGGATGTCTTGAGTTCAAATCTCGTACAAGTGCATTACAAACATGAAATATAGGCAAGACATCTTGAACAGTGGAACCGAAGCAAGCACCTGATCCAGCTATTCAATATGCAAACAGACAGAGTGACGTGACATGATAAGTGGGTAAAACCTATAAACATATCCTCTTGAAAAGTAGATCACGTATAAACATTGAGGGGTGCTCCAAATTCAGAAACAAATGGCTTCCAATTTGCTTGTATCAGCTCCAAATAATATCAAACAGGAATACGACTCTTGGCACCAACCTAAACTTTCTCAATAAGTTATTCGTTAGACAGCAATATACACCAAATATTTCGAAATTATCGTGTAATATATGCGAAAGTTCATTTCACACATTGTCGGGGTAGTGGGGTCCTTTCCACACCCTTAAGATCTTGGCCATAATTGAGCCACACGTTACTAACAATCTTACTGACCACATAGAAAGCCAGATCAAGCTTCCTACCAAGCCCATTTCAGTCTACTCCTTAACCCAAACCAACCTCTTCCTCAAAGGCCTCCAAAATGAATTGAGCAACCCAAAGGTCAAAACATATTCCCTAACATAATTCCAATGATCTAATCGAGGTATCTATTATGAATTGGCAATTACAGCATTGATACCTAAGGAAGAGGTTTGACGTAAGATTGTGTGATGGTATTGCTGATGCTGATGGAAGATACCACAGCAATTTGTTTGATAAGCCATGTACTATCATGTTACAAGTTTATTTTAATGAAGACACTTGAAAAACAATCCTTTCTTAATTGTGTATTTGTGTTGTGGTGGCAAAGTAAATCATTGGCATTAGAGGCGATGCACAGTGGAAGAGCAGCAATAATTCTTCAGTCTCTTGAGAGGGGAAACAGAGTGGCCAAGCTGGAGAAATCAGCTTATTTTGAGAAGTGAGTGTTTTTGAAAAAAGAACTTTTGGAGAGAAGCAGTTTGTGTTTGGCTAATCAGTCTGAAAATCATTTTTGAGAAATAATTTGTGTTTGGCCAAGCTTTTTAGAAAGTGCTTTTAAGTGTCAAATTACGAATAAGGACATGAATAGATTTACTTAATAATTAATATTATAAGTAAATAAATAATATCAAAATTTTGTTATTACATGCAATAATTAAAAAAAAAATCATTTCATTTAAGTAAAATATGAAAATAAAATTAAAAAGTACTTAATTCTTTTTAATATAAGTTAAATATATTAAAATTCCTTCAACAAATATAAAAGCATTCATCCCTAAA